GATACACCAAATTGTACATCAAAGAATCAATTCTATTCTTTTGGTTATATCCAATTGTACCTACAAATGATGTCAAAGAGATATAGATATTTTGCAATAACAATTTACTATATGTTTGCACAAAAAAATGTGATACATGTGTTCAACTTACCCATAGCTTGTTTTCCCATAGCACACTGGTATGTATTCCTCGGACTCTGGTTGTGATGCGGATAGGGCACCAGGCCGGCGCACACGCCTAATATTGTAAATGGCTCTATTTCAAGATGCGTGGTGACATATGGATCTATTTCAGCTTCAACTGTTGCTATATGGCTGTCATTTTCTTCGTTCACATCCAAATATTCAATGAGACCATCATGTAAGAAATCTTGGAACTTTCTGATGCCTCTATTGAGTTCATTGATGTGTCCTTGTTGGACCAGCGGGTTGCCTTTCTCTACTATTATATAAGGGCGACACAATCTCCCACCATCACTGCATATGTAAACCGTTCTTTGGTTATGATTCGGGTAAATTGACACAAAAGCTGAAATAAGTCCACGTCTTCTAAACATTCTGAATATCTTGATGAGTTTCTTGTATTGTCGAGTAACACCCAAAATGTTTCCTGTCAAAAAAAGGCAAAGGATAATTTTTTTCTTTCTTTTATCATACCTCAATCATTTCAATCTTTCCATCTTATTAACCAGGTGTTTATTTACCATTAAGAAACACAATATAAACTGCAGGATGGTTAATTTCTTCTCCTCCCAGCAGCCTTACATCTTCGACACCGGCATTACATGCCAGTCTAGAGATCGGTTCCTCTGAGCACTCAGTGGTAATATGAGTCATCAGCGCGAGGTTCTTGACGAGACCGCAGCCTTCGCCCTCAGGAGTGTCGGAGGGGCACAGCATGCCCCATTGCGAAGGCTGAAGAGACCGCGGACCTGACACTTTTCTAGTCTTTTCGAACTGAGAATTGACTCTCGTCATCATGCCCAACGCCGATATGTAGCTCAAACGACTGAGAACCTGCGTTACACCATGTCGTTCCATCTTAAATCTTTTAATTGTCCAATTCCCCTATAACATAAATAATATTTAATAAAAACATTCAACAATTTACTAAGGTCTTATTTTAATTTCTTGTAGACTAACACTTACTGACGATATTGCCGTAAACAAGCCGTTGGCTATCAAATCTGGCCTCATATGCTTTACAACATCAAATGGTGCTGCCTTTACTTTTGGTATAATTTTATCTGCTATGGATTTCAGCTCCCAGTTGAATCTTTTAAACAGATCTTCAAACATTAGAGATAATAACGAGCCGGCTAATTCCAACCTTTTGTTTCCATAATAATCTGGATCATCTATAGATGACTTGTTATTCTCTGCCTCAATAACTCTTTTCACCATTATAGCCAGATAAATAGCTTTTACATAGAAATTGTAATTCTCAACTGCTACATGAGCAAGGATAGTTGTAGCAAACAGATCCCTGGCTTCATCAACAGGAGTTCGTGTCTTAGTATTTGCAGTTTGAAACCTGTAAAATTCTTTTATAATAATTAACCAACCAATATCACACTGGGGTTAGAATAAGCATAGGTTACCTCTACGTTAAAGATTGTTCTCTTGACTTATTTGTTTCAGAATTGTTTAGTACAAATGACTGACATTGATTTATATTGTAATAATATTGTATATAGATTATGCTTTGGAAGCATTTACCCACCTTTTAACCTTCAATTTACTTCCAATAAATGCAAGAGCTTGATTTTGAGTAAATATTTTCAAATTATGGCATTCCATAATGCAAGGCGCCATCTTCTTGGCAATAGCATCATCAGAGCCTACAAGTTGCATAATTTCTTGATCTGTACATATGCCCATTGCCTTGAATGCAACTGCTATTGGAATATCCTGAAACATGACAAAACCAAATGCTTGGATCAATCTGATATAACACTTTTTCATGATAGTTGAAACATTTTAATGCAATATTAATGTGAAGTTACTTAGGGCAATTTATTAAATAAAATAGATATAAAATGTATACATATAAGATATTTGTAAACTTAGGAAAGCCTTACATCAGACAAAGCATTATGTCTCATAACATATTTGCCATTCTTGACAATAACATTTGTTCTAGTCTTCTTTTCATGTGTAGAGCTTGTTACTTGACATTGTACGGCACCTTTAAATTCATCCACAATCATTCTGTTTTTGGACAATTGTTCTTGGATCAATATTACTTTTTCTTGTCCTAAAAATATTAAATTTAATAAAATCATATAAACTTTTAAACCTTAGTCAACAACATAGATATCATACCTCTAATAATAAAGTAACCACCAGGATCATGGGGACATTCATTGAGCTGAGCCAACTCAAAATCTGATTTGTTTGTTAATACACAATTTGAAGACCTCAACATTAATGGCATTCTATAAGCAAAAATATTTATTATGGTATAAGAAACTTATTTCATAGCTGCT